TTCGCAAGGAGTTTTTCGAGTCGTGGGAGCGCCGCATGTATTTGTTTATGCTCAGCACGTAACTCCGCGATTTTCTGTACTGAAATATCTTCTTTTCCCTCCATTTGGCGATCCACAGGAAGATGCGCGACGAAAATAATCGAATTCTAGGTGTTGGTCGACTTACTACGAGTCAAATTGACTGTAGAATCGACGAGCGCGAATTCTGTAGGTTGCGTAAATCTCCCTAAGGCGAAATTCGCGTCCGATCTTGGCCGTTTAGGAGAAAATCGATCCGACGCTCCAAATTCCAACTTTTTTGGGCGAAATTCTCTGGGCCGTTGAGATGAAACTCGATCGAACGGTCGAAACTCCAACCTTTCCACCAGTAAATCTGAGGGGTGTTCGAAAACCGAATCGAGGGGGATTTAGAAAAATTGCGCGGAACTGGTTTTACGTACCCGTATCGGCGCTTTCGTCGTCGCCCCCGCGGTTTTTAAAGGCCGGAACTAAGCGGTTGAAGACCTCGCGTGTAAACCCGCTCTGATTACCAAGTGTGAGGATCTAGGATCGAGCTCAGAAAAGATGATTCAAATTGAATTGAATGATCACCTGGGTACAGCACGAGGCTATATATAGGCTCGACACAAGGCCCCGTAACCAGGTGTTACGCGAAGGTTCCGCGGGTCGCGAAGCGTCCCGAACAGATCCTTACCGAATTCGGTAGAAGGCAATTCGGTGGCAACCGAAAATCCAGAATTCGGTGCACGCAACCTAGCTCGGTGCTATAACTATAATAAAATATAGGAAAGCACCTAGCCTAGGAAATCAAGCAATTCATGCATGCATATGATTATCCCATGCTAGAAATAGCATAATAAAGTAAAGGCAAGCAAGCATAGCTGGCATAAGCCGTCGTTCTCTCACACCGAGTCATCGAGCTCCACCAAATCCTTGATGTGCTGGAACATGTCGTTGTTGACCGACTCTAGAATCAAGTCGTACAGCACCGCGCTCCGCTCAATCCACCGATCGCGGGCATCTCCTTCCTCGGGCATCTTCTCCTCTCCCATAGCCAATTTCAGCAGCTTGTAGCGCTTGAAGGCGCTCCTCATCCGCCCACTCCATTCTTCATAGTTGGAGCCATCCAATGCCTCAATCTTGGATGGTGGCGGTTCACTCTTCTTCTCAGCTCCTTCTCCACTCCCTTGACTCATCTCCTCTGCTTCCAATCAGAGGTTTCAGATCCCCCCCTTTGCTGGTCACAATGTAGATCCACACAATCTTCACAAGTGTCGGCGCCAACGAAATTTCGGCAGAGTTTCCCCTAAGCGGAAGTCACATCCGACCTCCAGAACTCCACTTAGGCACGCCCACAGGCCATGGTGGGTCTAGGAGGGTCTTCACACTTCAGTAGACTCTCCACAAAGTCCTTAATCAGCTCTGATACCACTTGTTAAAAACTAAGGACGGAGTCTATGAAGATTAGGTGCCCAACTTTTTTAAAATCGTTGGTCTCGATTTCTGGACAGAAACGTCGACTTCACAAGAAACGTTGTCAACGAAAGGTGCACTATTAGAATCCCACGAAATTTGAATATGTTGTAGCTCTAGACCGTGGCTACATTTCCCAATTTGAATTGTATCAAATTATGAAGCATATCTCGAGTTATACTTTTCGGCGCACTAGGGGGTATGCTGCCACAGAAATTTAACTCGATCACAATTAACTCACAAGTCCCACAAAAGAACATTCGAGTAGCACTAAACCTGGTAGGAGGGGAAGAGGAGGACGAGAGGGAAGGTCCCAAGAGAGAGTCCCCAACCAAGGAAACCCCATGCCACACAATTCCCTTCCCCATAGGCAACAAACTTTGACCTTTGTCACTTTCCAACCCATGCCATCCACCTCACCACAACTTGGCCACACTTACCAACCTGGTTTGGCTTCACCCAACCTCTTGGCAGCATCTACAGTGATGGGTTCGAATTTCCCAACCCCCACAAGTCTGTACCCCATATTGAGTCAATGCCACAACTTCCCAAAGTAGCTGCAACCAAAATATATGAGCATACGAACTCCAAAGTTCGTAACTTTCTTGGTTGTGCTCCGATCGCGACGATTCATGGCTCGTCGGAAAGCTCTTGAGTAGAGGAATCACTTCAGATAGCTGCTCAAGCCAAATAACATACACACACACACACACACACACACACACACACACACACAGAAAATCCAAACCACACAAGACACAAATTTCTTGCACACGCTCACACCACGCATGCAACACACTAACACATGATGGGAGGCAGACAGACGTGAATGCATATGTTTGCATCACACAACACCCCCACCTGGGGCGAACATCGTCAGTGGCATGTGGATCTTCAGGGTGAAGCGGCCGCCGGGCTCTCCGCCTGTCTTCAAGGCGCGGTACGTGGCTCGTGGCTTCAGTCATCGGCAGGGAGTTAACTACTTTTAGACCTTCTCTCCCACCCCGAAGATGACCACTCTTCGGGTGCTGCTACACATAGCCGCTCAGCGTGACTACGAGCGTCACTCCCTTGACTTCAGCACTGCTTTCCTGCAGGGTAGCCTGCACGAGGAGATCTGGCTGCGCCGTCCACCTGGCTTCACTGGGACTTTCCCTCCTGGCACCCAGTGGAGCCTCCGACGGCCAGTCTACGGTCTCCGCCAGGCACCGCGCGAGTGGCACGACACACTGAGGACTACGCTTGCGGCTCTTGGGTTTGCTCCCTCTACTGCTGACCCGTCGCTGTTTCTACGCACCGACACCTCTTTGCCGCCGTTCTACATCCTCGTGTACGTCGACGACTTGGTCTTTGCCACTGCTAACACTGCTGGACTCGTCCACGTGAAGTCCGAGCTGTAGAAGAGACACACGTGCACAGACCTGGGTGAACTGCGCAGCTACCTTGGCTTGCAGATCACCCGGGACAGAGCACGCCGCACCATTACCCTGACTCAGTCACACATGGTGCAGCAGGTCCTTCAGCGCTTTGGCTTCACGTACTCCTCGCCTCAGGCCACTCCTCTGCCTACTCGCCACTCGCTCTCAGCTCTGCCTTCGGATGAGTCCGTAGAGTCGAGTGGCCCGTACCCAGAGCTTGTTGGCTGCCTCATGTACCTGATGACCTGCACACGACCTGACCTTGCATACCCTCTTAGCATTCTTGCACGCTATGTTGCTCCTGGGAGACACAGACTAGAGCACATGGCTGCAGCGAAGAGGGTGTTGCGCTACTTGTGCAGTACGTCGGGCATGGGGCTAGTGCTTGGAGGGCAGAGTCCAGTGGTCCTCACTGGGCACGCAGACGCTTCTTGGGCTGACGACCAGGCTACGCAGCGGTCGTCACAGGGTTACACCTTCAGCCTTGGTTCCGGCTTTGTTTCGTGGCGGGCTACTCGCTCGTCTTCTGTTCTCGGCTCCACTTGTGAGGCTGAGATCTACGCCGGGGCCATGGCTGCACAGGAGCTTCGCTGGCTCACCTACCTGCTGACCGACCTTGGAGAGCCGCCTCGTTCTCCTCCAGTCCTGTACGTAGACAACAAGGCCATGCTGGCCTTGTGTCCAGAGCAGAGACTGGAGCACAGAACAAAGCACATTGCTCTTCGCTACTTCCTTGCTCGTGAGCTACAGCAGCGTGGACAGTTGCGGCTTGCGTACGTGGCCTCTGAGGCCAACAATGCTGATGTCTTCACCAAGGCACTTGCGCCTTGTGATCATCAGCGCTTCTATACTCAGCTTGGTCTTGTGCCTGTCTTGCCTCACTTGCTCACTTCTTGACCTTGCTTGTACTGTCACATATATATACTCCTGCTCTTGCTTGCTTAGCCTCTTATATATATATATATATATATATGTGCTCCTGCATGTGAACTGGCCTTCTGGCCTTGAACTTGTGCTCAAAATGTGTGGTGACTTTGTGATCCACCCTGAGCTTTGCTTTGCTTTGCTTGACTGGTCTTGTGACCCCTTATTCTCCCCCACTTTGCCTATGGGGGTGTGTGAAATTATAATGTTGTCTAGGCTTTAGTGGGGTAGCCCATATGGGGTACATATTTCTAGGGTTGCATATTTGTATCACTTTCATTCCATAGTCATTTCATTCTCGTTCTAATTTCCTCATTCCCGTCCTGTGAGTCAGTGCGGGATACACATGTTGCTCAACTGCTGCGCGCGAATTCACCCTGTGCGCGCCAGAAAGTCTGCACGCGCGGTTTTGGGGCCGGTAAGTTGCACCCAGCTTACAAGCCCCTCGAGCAAGTTGCAGTTATGATGAACCAAGTAACGAATGTTAGAGATTAAGGACGGACTCTATGAAGATTAGGGGCCGAAATATTCTAAAATTGTTGGAATATATTTCTAGACATAAATGTCGACTTCACAAGAAACGCCGTCGACAAATAGTGCATCGTCAAAACTTCACCAATTTCAGATATGTTGTAGCTCTAGACCGTGACTACAACATAGGTAGACTAAAACTGGAGTTATGAATTTCGGCGCACGAGGGGGGTATGCTGCCACAGAAACTTAACTCAATCACAATTATCTCACAAGATCCACAAAAGAGAGTTGAGTAGCTAGAAAATAGGTAGGAAGGATTGAGGAGGACAAGAGAGTAGGTTCCCAAGGAGTCTCCAACCAAGAAAATGAGAAAGTAGAAACGAGAATGAATGAACTACGAATGAACTGAGTACAAGTACTGACCCTAATTGGGTTGTACCCCTTATGGGCTACCCTAATATAGCCTACACAATAAGCACAAGCTATATGTTCTGACACACCCCCATAGGCAAACTCGGGGAGAACAAGGGGTCACAAGACCAGTCAAGCAAAGCAAAGCAAAGCAAGCTGAGGGTGGATCACAAAGTCACCACACATTCCGAGCACAAGTTCAAGGCCACAAGGCCAGTTCACATGCAGTAGTACACATATATATATAAGGCTAGACAAGCAAGAGCAGGTATATATATATATGTAACAGTACAAGCAAGGTCAAGAGGTGAGCAAGTGAGGCAAGACAGGTACAAGACCCAGCTGGGTGCAGAAGCGCTGATGATCACAAGGCGCAAGTGCCTTGGTGAAGACATCAGCATTGTTGGCCTCAGAGGCCACGTACGCAAGCCGCAACTGACCACGCTGCTGTAGCTCACGAGCAAGGAAGTAGCGAAGGGCAATGTGCTTTGTTCTGTGCTCCAGTCTCTGCTCTCGACACAAGGCCAGCATGGCCTTGTTGTCTACGTACAGGACTAGAGGAGAACGAGGCGGCTCTCCAAGGTCGGTCAGCAGGTAGGTGAGCCAGCGAAGCTCCTGTGCAGCCATGGCCCCGGCGTAGATCTCAGCCTCACAAGTGGAGCCGAGAACAGAAGACGAGCGAGTAGCCCGCCACGAAACAAAGCCGGAACCAAGGCTGAAGGTGTAACCCTGTGACGACCGCTGCGTAGCCTGGTCGTCAGCCCAAGAAGCGTCTGCATGCCCAGTGAGGACTACTAAAGTCCTTCCTCCAAGCACTTGCCCCATGCCCGACGTACTGCACAAGTAGCGCAACACCCTCTTCGCTGCAGCCATGTGCTCTAGTCGGTGTCTCCCAGGAGCAACATAGCGTGCGAGAATGCTAAGAGGGTATGCAAGGTCAGGTCGTGTGCAGGTCATCAGGTACATGAGGCACCCAACACGCTCTGGATACGGGCCACTCGACTCTACGGACTCATCCGAAGGCAGAGCTGAGAGCGAGTGGCGAGTAGACAGAGGAGTGGCCTGAGGCGAGGAGTACGTGAAGCCAAAGCGCTGAAGGACCTGCTGCACCATGTGTGACTGAGTCAGGGTAATGGTGCAGCGTGCTCTGTCCCGGGTGATCTGCAAGCCAAGGTAGCTGCGCAGTTCACCCAGGTCTGTGCACGTGTGTCTCTTCTGCAGCTCGAACTTCACGTAGGCGAGTCCAGCACTGTCAGCTGTGGCAAAGACCAAGTCGTTGACGTACACGAGGATGTAGAACGGCGGCAGAGAAGTGTCGGTGCGCAGAAACAGCGACGGGTCGGCAGTAGAAGGAGCAAACCCAAGAGCCGCAAGCGTAGTCCTCAGTGTGTCGTGCCACTCACGTGGCGCCTGGCAGAGACCGTAGACTGGACGCCGGACACTCCACTGGGTACCAGGAGGGAAAGACCCAGTGAAGTTAGGTGGGCGGCGCAGCCAGATCTCCTCGTGCAGGCCGCCCTGCAAGAGAGCTGTGCTGAAGTCGAGAGAGTGCAGCTCGTAGTCACGGTAAGCAGCAACGTGCAGCAGTACCCGAAGAGTGGTCATCTTCGGGGTGGGAGAGAAGATCTGAAAGTAGTCAACTCCCTGCCGCTGACTGAAGCCACGACCCACGTAACGCGCCTTGAAGACAGGCGGAGAACCCGCCGGCCGCTTCACCCTGAAGATCCACATGCCACTGACGATGTTCGCCCCAGGAGGGGGGACAGCGTCAACGTAGGTGCCTGTGGACTTCCAGGAAGCCATCTCTGCATCCATAGCTGCCCGCCACTGAGAAGAGTAGGGACCCTCTATCGCCTCCGCGTAAGAGCGCGGAGTTGGGATGTCAAGTGCATCCGGGTCTCCCTCAGGGGTAAGCAGTACAGACACGAGATGAGGTGAAGCAGCGGCCAAGCACTGGAACTCCTCCTGCCTATCCTCAAGGACGTCCGTGCCAAGGGCACACTCAAGGACGGAGGACAGACAGACTGAGACTCAGCGATAAGACTAGCAGCGTAGTCTAGGCGACAGCGAGCAGCAAAGTCGACGAGCTCAGAAACTAGGGCAGACGCAGCACTGGACTCGAAAGAAGGGTCATAACGACAGTAGCCAGGAGACGCGTGATAGTAGGACTGGCAGCACGAAGAGAGTCCGACTCCGGGTTGGCAAAAGCAGGAAGAGAGGACTCAGGAGGAGAAGGCAAAAGGGCACGCAGAGGAGCAGTGGACGGACGCAGAGACATCCTGTGCGTGCCAAGGACAGGAGGAGGACGCTGACGCGAACCACGACCGCTAGCGCGAGCAGCACGGACAGGCGACGCAGGGCGAGACGCAAGCTCACGACGCTAAGACCTTCAGTAGGACGAGTGTAGGGAGAAGGAGCAAGCAAAGGGGAGGTAGGCTGCAGCTGTAACTGTGACGGGACTGGCTGTGGACACTCTAAAGAAGGAGGAGGACCAGTAGAAGGCGGAAGACCAAGAACCTGCTGCAGGAGTGGAACGAAGTACGGTCGAGGCTGCGCCGGGACGCCAGACACAGCAGGTACAGCACCAGAACCCCCAGCAGGAGCACCCGCACCAGCTGCACCTCCAGCAGCGCCAGAACCTCCAGCAGTACCAGGAGTACCCGCAGCAAGACCACCAGCAGTAGTCTCAGCTCTAACACCCTCAGCAACACCAGCTCCAGTCGAACCCGCAGGCCCAGTTGCTCCAGTACTCCCAGTACGAGCACCTCCGGGACCCGCGACAGCAGCACCATGAGTAGCCGAAGAACCTCCAGCACCAGCAGCACGCCTCCAGCGCCAGGAAAACCACTCGCGCAGCTCCCGTGGAGAGAGTGGCTCCCGCACAGACGAAGCACCCAGAGAACCTCTAGGCGGAGCACCTCCAAGCTCAGCACCCCCAGGCTCAGCACACCCAAGCTCAGCACCCCCCGGCTCAGCACCCCCAGGCTCAGCACCCCCAGGCGTAGCACCCCCCGACTCAGCACCCCCATGCTCAGCACCCCTAGTCTCAGCACACCTAGGCTCAGCACCCCCAGGCTCAGCACCCCTAGGCGCAGCACCCCCAGGCTCAGCACCCCAAGGCTCAGCACCCCCAGTCGCAGCACCCCCAGGCTCAGCACCCCCAGGCTCAGTACCCCCAGAGTCAGCACCCCCAGGCTCAGCACCCTCAGCAGCACCAGAGTCACCAGTGACCTCGACAGGCTCGACTACGTCTACCTGGGACACACCTCAAGGGGACGGACCCTGAGGGGGGACGGGGTCTACCGGAGGGGGACCTAGTACAAGGAAGAGCGGCGGCGGGGGGAGGGACGGAGTGCGGTAGGGGAAGAGGCGGTAGTAGGGGACCGACTCGTCAAACGTGACGTCCTGGGAGGACAGAACACGGCGAGAGGTGGGGTGGTAGAACTGCCACCCAGGCGCGTCAGGGGGGAACCCCAGGAAGACGCAAGGAGCAGCACGAGGGGTCAGCTTGTCCGCAGACAAGTCGCGGACAAACGCCCGAGATCCACACACCCGGAACGCCGACGCATCGCCAACCTTCCCCGTCCACAGCAAGGCTGGGGAGGTCTCCGGCCTGGAGACCCTGGGGTGTAGGTTGATCTGATGCGCCGCGTACCTCACCGCAAACGGCCACAGAAAATGGGGGGCAGCCGCATGCATCATAGACGTACGAGCGACGTCCATGACCATGCCGATGCGGCGCTCAGCAATCCCATTTTGCTGCGGGGAGTCCGGAAGCGTGAAGGTCTGATGGATTCCTCGTGCGCGACAGTAGGCTCTCAGAAGGCCGGAAGAAAACTCTCCGCCTCTGTCCGAGTGCAGACGCAGAACAGGAAAGTCCGAGCCAAAGCTCTGCCTGAGCTGGAGACGAGCTGCGCGGATCCAGTCGATCAGCACCTCAGTGACATCACCCTTGCTGCGCAAGGGGAAGACTGCGGTGTAACGCGAGTAGTCGTCAACAACGAGCATGAAGTAGCGCTCGTGACCCTGTCCACGGACGCGGGCTGGGCCCCACACGTCCATGTGAAGCGTCTGCAACGGGGCCTCTGTCGGAGGAAACTAGGAGGAGTGAGGGGCAGCCCGCTGGCGCCCCTCGACACAGGGGACACAGGCAGGGCGAGGGCCCTGAGGAAGGGGAGGGAGGGACCGAGGGAGACCAGAAACAAGAAGACGGGAGGCCATGCCTCTGAGCTGAAGCAGAGAGGGGTGACCAAGGCGGTGGTGCCAGAGGAGAGTCTCGTGAGACAGGAGACGACACGAACAGGGGGCAGACTCAGGACCAGACCTGGACGCTGCAGCAAACACCTGACCCGACGCAGCGACCCTACCAGACTCAACAACTGGAGGAGACGCAGTGGTCAGTGTGTACAGGCTTGACCCCGGCTGACGGGTAAACGTAGCCAGGTGTCGGCCCATGCTAGCCTCTGTGCAGTGCGTCACCCGCTGACGCGCAGGAGTGAACTGGTGTACTCCCCCATCCTGTAGGTCAGCACCACTCACCAAGTTCGTAGAGAACGAGGGGAGGTAGAGACCAGACAGGGTGCCAGAGGGAGCCGCCGGACACGGGAGGAGTGTGGAGAAGTGAGTCAGGACAGGACCCCCAGAGGGGTCAGCGAGAGACACCGCAACCGGCCGACTAAGCGGCGTGAGTGTGGTGCGGTCCCGAAAGAAGGAGCGAGAAGCCCCAGAGTCAAGGGTGAAGGTGAGGGAGGCCAAAGCCGACGTAGTACCTGAGAGCGCAGACTCACCAGTACCTGAGGACGCAGACGCACTAGCACCTAGAGCAGCAGCGTCGCAAGCACCTAGGGCAGCCGCCTCACCAGTACCTAGAGCAGCAGTCTCAATGCCCGGATCGGGCGGGAAACACCAGTAACAGCCACCCTCATCACTAATAGATACAGCATACATGGCAGAAAGAATAGCATCAAAATCAAGATCATAGATGGCAACACCCGCCCTAGACATCTCGCCCCAGCGAGGGATCTCTGTGGCCTCCGGGAACTGGTGACGCCACGCGTTCGTCAGGCGGCCAAAGCAGCGCTGAGTGGGGTGCACACCCCCACATTGCTCACCCGCACGGTCGCCGGTGCGCAGGACGTAGGTGCACGGACCAAAACCCCCACCCCGCTGGCGTGCAGTGTACCACTCACGGAGCTGCTGAGGGGACAGGGTCTCACGACCGTGCTGCTGCTGCTGGCGCGGACCACCACCGGAGCCACTCCTCTGCGTAGACCCGCGACCAGCTCCACCGCCACCCCCGCTGCCTCCGCCGCCTCCGCCGCCTCCGCTTCTACCGCCGCCTCCGCCGCCTCCTCCACCGCCGCCACCTCCGCCACCTCCGCTCCCACCGCCACCGCCGCCGCCGCCTCCGCCTCCACTGCCGCCACCGACACCTCCACACCCACCACCACTCCCACCGCCACCCCCACTCCCCCCGCCGCCTCCACCTCCACCTCCACCGCCCCCGCTCGCCCCTCCAGTGCCCCTGCCTCCCTTGCCCTTGCCAGAGCGGCGTCTCCCGCTAGGGGCAGACGCCGCACCGACCGACTCAAGACCAAGGAGGTCGGCCGCAGTAGCAGAGGCAACAGAGGGCAGAAGGGGGGAGGGGGAACACCCCTCAAAGATGGGGGTGCGCGGGTCACCACGAGAGGCCCCTACAGCGACTATGCTCTTCTCGGCCGCTAGGAGGGACTTCTCGAGGAGGTCAACAGTGAGAGTGGTGGGACAGACTGAGAGGAAGTGGTCCCTGACTACGCGAAGGGAGTCAGGGAGGCGAGTGAGTATGTAGTAGAGAGTGATGTACATGGGGGGGGGGGGTTCTTGGCGCAGAAGTCAGCAGGAAGCGCAGCGCGGTAGCGAGTGTCACTAGTGCGGAGGTGCGTAATGAGGTCAGCAACTGTGGGAAAGGCAGCAAGGTCAGGGAAGAGGTACTGTAGCATGAGACGGCTCAGTGCAGCAGTGGCACGGGAGGAGTAGCGCGCAACTACAGCGTCGTACAAGGTCTGAGCACTCTTGTACTGACTAAAGTGCGCACGCTCGGATGTACGGAGGTGGCGACGTACAGCAAGACGTGCAGCAGCGTCGCGTGTGGCCCACTGGGAGCGAACAGTGGCGTCGGCATCAGCAGCAGGGGCAGGAGAGGCGCCAGAGGTGAGGTCAAAGAGTGAGAGACCGTCTGCTCTATCACACTGTAAAACCAGCTGCAGGTCGTCTACCCAGACGTCAAAGTCAATGGCTCGACCCTCAGCGTCAAAAGCGAGGACACTAGGGGTAGCCATGACCACAGTAGACTAGAAGTACAACAGTAGGGTGAGGGCAGTGCAAGAAAAGAGGCACTGTGCTGACTAGACGGGGCTGCTCGAGCGGCTCGGAGGTAGGGCGGCTCGTCGGCTCGGCTGCACGGCGGCTCGGCTGCTGGGCGGCTCGGCTGCAGGGCGGCTCGGCTGCAGGGCGGCTCGGCTGCTGGGCGGCTCGGCTGCAGGGCGGCTCGGCTGCTCGGTTGCTGGGCGGCTCGGCTGCTCGGCTGCTCAGCTGCTGGGCGGCTCGGGCGTGCTGCTATAGGGCGGCGCGGCGGTCGGCTGTTCGGCGAGGTGAGGTGGCTCGGGCGGCTTAGGTGGCGGGCGGCGCTGTAGCAGGTGACGGGGCCGCAGGGAAGGCGGCTGGGCCGCAGGTAAGGGCGGCGAGGCCACAGTTGAGGGCGGCGGGGACCGCACGTGAGGGCGGCGAGGCCGCAGGTAAGGGCGGCGAGGCCGCAGTTGAGGGCGGCGGGGACCGCAGGTGAGGGCGGTGAGGCCGCAGGGAAGGGCGGCGAGGCCGTAGTTGAGGGCGGCGGGGAGCGCAGGTGAGGGCGGCGAGGCCGCAGGTAAGGGTGGCGAGGCCGCAGTTGAGGGCGGCGGGGACCGCAGGTGAGGGCGGTGAGGCCGCAGGGAAGGTCGGCGAGGCCGCAGTTGAGGGCGGCGGGGACCGCAGGTAAGGGCGGCGGGGACCGCAGGTGAGGGCGGCGGGGCCGCAGGTAAGGGCGGCGAGGCCGCAAGGGCGGCGCGCGGGGTCGACGGGTGGCGTAAGGCGCCGCTAGGACGGCACGCGGGGTCGACGGGCGGCGCAGGGGGGGGGGGGCGCTAGGGCGGCGCGCGGGGTCGACGGGTGGCGCAGGGGGCCGCTAGGGCGGCGCGTGGGGTCGACGGGCGGCGCAGGGAGCCGCTAAGGCGGCGCGCGGGGTCGACGGGTGGCGCAAGGAGGGGCCGCTAGGGCGGCGCGTGTGGTCGACGGGCAGCGCAAGGGGCCACAAAGGGCGGCGCGACGGTAGGGAGGGCACACGGGGCGCGCGCGACTCGGTCTAGTCAAAGGCGCTCTCCGGGCAGGAAAAAAATCGTGGTGGGCCCTAGGTAGCGTTCCCACTAGGGAACCTGCTCTGAAACCATGAGAAGAAACGAGAATGAATGAACTATGAATGAACTGAGTACAAGTACTAACCCTAATTGGGTTGTACCCCTTGTGGGCTACCCCACTATAGCCTACACAATAAGCACAAGCTATATGTTCTGACACTGCACCTGTGCCCTGCCCCTGTGCCCTGCCCCTTTGCCCTGCCCCTCTGCCCTGCCCCTCTTCCCTGCCCCTCTGCCCTGCCTCTCTGCCCTGCCCCTGCTAATGAGCAGGTGGACATCGGCGAGGTGAAGCTCCTCGTCGATAAACTGAAGCTGAAGCTGGCGCAACGTTACGTGGAGAACCGCGCAGACTATGGGACCCCGAAGAGCAAGCACCTGCATGCTTTTCTCGAGAAGCACGGCAGCCCTGACAAGCGCGAGATCACCATCCGCGGCCTCGACAAGCAAGGAACCGCATGCACCATCAAAGACATACTGCATGAAAACCCCATCGGCAAAGACAAGAAGATGGACCTGGATTCGTGCATCAAGCTGGGGCAGGAGTTTGCGCAGGAGTTGATCGCAAAGCTGGACTACCGCCTTGGGGACCTGAAGCATTTTGACGGGGCAAAACTCTTCATGCCAATGCACTACCCGCTGCGCCCTGCTGACCGTGAAGGATGGCTCAACGTCCACCTCTACGAACTCCTTGACATGTTCAAGGAGAAGCTGCCCGGTACGTAAGAATGCCCATGATCCATTACATTTTATATTCCCAGCAATGTTATTATCATAGGTGCTTCCATGTTTAACTTATTCTTCTCCTACGCCCACCCCACCATCCGCAGGTGTCACGTACCAGGAGTGTCAGCTGGAGATGGAGCTCTTTGCTGCCACAATGTTCAAGAAGTTCAAGGACCTGACTTTCCAGCAAGCCCTCACTAACGTGCTACGCCCCTCAGACTGGAGGGATGATTACCCCACCCTCGTGCACTTGTGGCGTGCACTTGCTGTCCTGCCCCTTAGCACTTTTGAGTGCGAAAGGGGCTTCAGTAGGCAGAACATAATAAAATCATGGGACAGGACTGCTCTTAGTGATGTTAAGCTAGATCAGCTGATGACTGTGAAGATGCTATACTATCCTGTGGAGTGGGTAGAATTGCACAAGATCTTCACTGCTGCCAAGGCTAGGAAGCCTTCTAAGCGTGCATAGAGAAATGATGCCAAGTATATTTTTTTATGTAGTGTTTGCTTGTAGTAGTTTGTAGTTGTAGTCAGTGTAGTTAAAATGAAGCAGCAAAATATGACGCGCCAAACCTGATTCAAAGGGTGGAAACTTTTCCAGCCCTGACGCCTTAAGGGCCAAGATTCGCCCCAACCCTGCTAGATACAGGGTTGCACGTGGCAGGCCCCCTGATTTGCCCGGGGGGCCCAAAACGAATCGACAGCCCTGCCTGCCACTCTTTGCTCTCGCGAAATCCAAATTCCCTTGGCGACTCTCGCCAGATTGCTTTAGATCCGGTGAAACGCAACTCTGGCACAGCCCTCCCTCCAGACACAGTCTCCGCTGGCTGCCTATTTTATCTTAGCAGATCAGCATCAAATAAAATATACGGTGTTCATTGCAGTTTCCCATGCGGTTTAGTGAGTTATGATGTGGTTCTTCTTCAAACCTTCATCTCCCATATCTTCACCTCGTCCCTAGTGAGGAAAGTTCAGTGCTCGATCCGCTTTATGTGCTGCTGACCAAACAAGTTTCCACTGCTGCCATTTTTGTCAGTTTACTCCTTGCACGTGATCGATTCACGTGCTTCGTGCTTAGGGCTGCGAAATCGATTTGAAAGTGTGGAGAATGGCTAGATTATCTTTCCAGCGTGGAAGGCGGTGCTGTAAATTTCCGACAACTCGAAATCGTACGTTTTCGTCAATAGAATCCCCTCTGGATTCCTTGACGTGCTCAATGCTCAGAATCGCTTAGACACCCCATCCTACAAAATCCATCCGACGTGGAAGGCGGTGATGCTGGAGGGGGCTTCTGTTGTCTTCCACTTGCAATCATACATTCAGATCCGATAAATTCTCGATAAAGTCTCAAGCGATTAACGTATCAGCTTCGGCCTGAAGTATGTGGCACTATGCTGGCGGGTAGTACCGCATCTGCCTCTTGGGGTCCAACGCATCGCCACCGCGTTCACCCTCATTGGTCACCCGCGTATCGCTCGAAGGACAGACAACCTCAATGGCTCTCGAAGGACAGACAACCGCAATGGCTCTGGAAGGAAGGGAAAATTAGTTTTGCATCTGGAGCCTCTCGCCATCATATAATGCTGCGCGTGATTGCCTCAGCTTCACATCACCAACTCGTTTCAAAGTTAGAAACTTCACATCTGATTCCGACTACTACTAATTCCATCGCACTGCACTCCACCTAACCATAGCCAGTACTCATCGCACGTAGAACTGAGGCTTCCAGCAGTTAGCTGGAAGCCTTCCTGGTGACTCCCGATTTCGGGAGTCCTGTCAGTCGGCTTTCAATGCGGGGGGGTAATTGTGGGGCAACAGAACCACCCTGCAGTCAACCTGCGCAGTGCCGAAACCAACCTGCGAGGCGACTGCATTGCGTAAGTTGGGAATCGCATGTCAGTTGGGGCTGTCGAAATATATTTGTCATGTTTTATAACTGCTTGTAGTTGTAGTTAGTGTAGTTATTTAAACTGTTGTTGGTGGTGCACCTTATTTGGTTTCTATGCTATATGTACCCTTGAACCTATAGTGAAACCATCACTTTTCTCCAATTCCTCTCTCAACTCACTCGATACCTCGCCTAGGGTAAAACCTACTCGACACTTAAGTTCGGGCCTAGGCTACTAAGCCTAGGCCCTTCCTTTCAACTTACCTCATACTTCGACAGGGGCGAGCATATCGATTTTGTTACCTTCCTAGTCGAAAAGCAAGCCCTCGCACATGCGAGACTCGAAAAGTTGGGTGTAACCAGGGCCGTAACAGATTTGATATTGTTGGTTACCACGTGATAACATGAATATTTAAAAAAGAGTTCACGAAACGGTTTTCAGATATTTGTTCCACAAATGAGAGATAAACAAGGCAAGTTATTTTAATTGAGATAACTACACCACAGTTGGCCCAACATAAACTGAGAGTACATAAACTGAATATATAAACTGAGATTACTGAAAGCTACTAAAAAATCATAAACATAATCAGCCACATAAATGTAAATTGCACAATTCGACTATAAAACTAGCAACCAAAAATAATTAGAAATTAGGAAACTGAATGTCACATAAACTAATCTAAATCTACATCAGCAGCAGCAGAATCAAGCTCCTAAATGTCCTCTACAATCCGCCACTCCTTAACAATAACATCTCCGAAGTAGAAAAACCCACTCACTAACGGGATGCGAGCACGACGAATCCAGCGCTCAACCTGGGCCCGCCTCTTCTCCATCTCGCGGGTGTTGTTCTGGGAATCAGAAAACATGCTGCTTCGGTCACGTGACAGCATCTCAAACTCCACCTGCCAAGCAAACAGGTGCAATTGAATTAAATGGTAATTACGGTAAGGAGAACACATAAAAGAAGCCAAGAAACTCACCGCGACCATTGTGTAGCAAAGCTGATCAATGCTGAGGGAGAAGACCCCATCCTCTTTCTTCTGCCACTTGCTTGCAGCAGCTAAAAACGCCTCGCTACAAAACGGCTTGTCGGCCAGAGCATGCCACGGCAGGCCAAACTCCTCTGCACAAAGAGAAACATAAGTGGTGAGACACCAGAAATAACGAAAGCATTAGCAAACAATGTACACGTACCAGACACGTAGTCTCGCGCGTAATCGCGCCGAGAGTCAACGGAGTCGTTCACTACTTTGCCGTCAGGGTACTTCAGCAG